GGAGCAGAACAGGCAGATCTACGAAGTACACTGCTGAGGGGAGCAGCGGGCAGGTCAGGAGAAGTCTGCCACGCCATGTGGTCACCTCCGGGGCAAGCGGGAATCGAACTCATGCGGAAGCGGCTTTAGATTCTCAGCACTGTGCTTTAACCCGCTGCGCCACCAGGGAGGGCCTTTAAAAAAATTTTTTTTTTTACTTTTGATTCACTGACAAATCCTTGTGCCTGAAAGAACGTTTGCTGTGTGTGTGTGTGTGTGTGTGTGTGTGTGTGTGTGTGTGTGTGTGTGTGTGTATTCAGTTACTCATTCAACAAATAGTGCTTACTGTGGTGTGAAGTTTCTGAAATGTGGCAGGAACACAGTCATACTGTAGTGGTCTGGGGAGATAATGAGGCTGAGGAATAGAAAGAATAACGAGGATCAAAGCTTGCAGGGAGAAAGAATAGAGAAGGATGATGAGCAGCCAATGAAGAAAAGGAAATTGAATTTGTAAGTGATAATTGAAGCAGGTATCATAGAGTTGTTGAAGGAGATGGGACCAGGGATTTCATGTGACAAGATGTCCTGAGACAGAAAGGGAAGAGAAAAGATGAATGCAGATGAAGGCCAGTTTGTGAGTGAAAGGAAGGAAATTAAGTAAATCCATGATGGTGGCCACTCTATTCCCTGTAGAGTGGGAAGCTGACTTTCAGCTAAGGGTAAAGAGAAGCTAGGGAAAGGATGGAAAGTCATTTTGAAAAAGCTTCTGTGTGAATAAGAATTAGGGATTAGAATAGGAAATGCCCAATAATATTAACACCTCCTGTAATAGAAAAGGATTCATTTTAGTGTAGAAGTCAGTTGGCAGCTGTCATGAGTATATTCTTGCGTAAAACCCGCTGTTAAAAATCTTCTCTACCAAGGACTAAATTATCAGAGCACTGTCCTAAAACTGGTTACACACCAAAGTGAAAGTGAACATTTATTTTCAGTGGGGTAGCTATGAACTGACACCCTCATTTGTACTTTAACAAGTAACTAATACAGATGTCATCCATTTACTTGATGGCCTTCTGGTGCCACAAAGCAACAGTTGTTTGGCGTGCTGTCACTATATGGTTTTATTGTGATTGATTTGAGAAACGTGTGTAAGTCAATTGAAGACTGGAAGAAGGCCAAGGCATCCATCAAGTTTTGTCTTTCTCTTTACAATTTTTTAAGACCTAGAACCAAGTGTTTTGCCATTTAAAAAATATCACCCTATGGCCTGATTGAAAAATGAGCCTTTTAAATAATCTGACATTTGGTGTGCCTTTCAGTGAGTTATTACTTGCATCTTAACACAAAGGTTCATCTTCTATGAGTAAGAAGGATTCTTTAAATTCATCTGGTTTTTATATATAAGTATATATATTGCCAAATACATGAAATTATCTTTAAAAAGCCTTTTTGAAATAACAACCAGAAATACCCACAAATTACTTCACAGATAGATTTATTTAGATAAATGATACTGGACTGAAACAGAATGAAGTATTTCATTCCATCAACTTCCAGCACAAAATATGAGTCTTAAAGTCCTATTAAGATTAAATTCAACTGTCAGTTAAGATAAATCTGGTCAAGCCGAAGTAGTCATTCAGTGTGGTTCAACACCACTTACTCCCCTGAGCTTCCTTACTCTGGGGGGAGGGGTGACGGTCCAGACACTTACTGCTCAGTTTCAGGGGGTTGGGTCAGGATCTGGGTAAATCAGAGTTAGTTTAATGTAGGACCCAATTTTCCCTATTTCTTGTCTCATACAGAACACGTATTCCTAAATTAGTGCTTTCCAAGCTTTTTAAAGACAGTGTAATGCTTTTTCCTAGAGAACTTGTTTATAGAACTCAGGGCAGAGACCATTTCTAACCCCAGATACAGTGAACTAGTTAAAGAAGGCTCAGCCGGCTTGGACAGGTTCACTGCGTCATGGGCCAAGGGGAAACAGACAGAAAATGTTGGCTTTCTCCAGGTTTGCTTTTACGTGTGTCCCACGTTCCTCTCCCCCTGCCTCCTCTGCTGTTCCCATTGCAGTTTTCACTACCATGCCTTTATATTGCTCTAAGGGCTATTGCAGATGATCTGCTTTTGTAGAATATGCTCAGGGGAGGCTGCTGTCCCATGGCTCTCCCCAGCTGGACTTGTAATAAAGTCTCATGTTATAAACAGTAAAGAGTTGACCTTTTGAAATGTGCCTGACGGCCAGAGCCCTGTCCACTTTCCCTCCTCCTCCCTGTCCCTATCCCAGCATCTCTGCCATATCCTGAAACCCCCAGGGACTATTTAGATATGCCTACTATAAATAGCTACAACTAAATTTTGGTCATTGCTTTTTATTGTGTCAGTTTTCTCTATTTGGTCTTATTTTAAAATCAATTTAATTTGAGGGAAACATTTTTCTTATCTTTTTTCCTTTCTCTTTTTCTCTAATTTTTGAAGTCATGCATTCTATTTTTGTTTACTTTTGATTAAATAAAAATGTCTTATGCTATATGAGATGTCTCTTCTTCGATTGCAGCTCCAAATAGATTGGGAGAAAATCAAAGCCAAAATTGAGATGGAAATTACTAAGGAACGAGAGCGATCATCAAGCAGTCAATCCAGCAAGAGTACTGGTCTGAAGTACTAAATGTCGTACTCACATTTCACCTTATCTTTTGAGGCTAATTCTGATTAGTTAAGGATAAGCATGCTTTTGTTCCTAAGGAAAAAGGTAGAATCTTTAAAGTAGAGGCATTGCCATGCATTTAATACATTCAGAAAGATTGAGCACAAAATAATTGATATAATTTCATTTTTTATATTTTTCTAGTTAAATTCTTCGTATATATTTATGATACTCCTCCATAGTGTTGCTTACGTTACAGTTTTGTGTATATTACTTTATCCCTGAATCTTTAGCACAGATTTAAATCTGATAATAAACTATTGAACTCATCAAAATATATACTATCATTAATTTCTATTTGAGCTCTAAATCAAAAATGACTGAAAAGTTTAAACCACAAAACTACAGGAGAATGAATTTATGAAAATGTGTATCCATGAATATACCTGTATAACAATGTTTATAGTAAATATCATTGTTCACATTAGCAAAAAAGTGGATATAAATGTTCATCAACAATAGGGTGGGTAAGCAAAATGTGGAACATACATACAGTAGAATATTATCAGCCTTAAAAAGAAAAATACTACTATTAGCATGGATGAACCTTGAAGATAATATGCTGAGCAAAATAATCTGTATACAGAAGTTCAGTACTATAGGATTCCATTTATATGAGAGCTCTAGAGTATGCAAATTCACTGAAACAAAGAGAACAGTGATTACCAAGGACTTCAGGGAGGCGAAAATAAGATTATTAATGTCTGTTTGTGTTGAACAAGTTCTAGGAATTGTGATAGTTATACAACATTGTGAATATATTTGATGCCACTGAATTGCACAGTTAAAATGTTAACAATGTATACTTTGCCATGTTTTTAAAAATATTTCTTTGCCAAGAAATATTTTTCTCATTCATCTGTCACTCAATGTAGTAGAACCTGGAGTCTGAGTTTCTGAAAATCTCTTTAAATGATCAATCTGATGACTAGCCTGAATTCATTGTGTCTCAAAATTATTACCACAAAGTCTGTTTAAAATTAACATAAATATAATCCTTAAAAAGTTGTCTATGAGCCCATTGTTAGAAATGGCAGATTAAAATGGATGGCTACATACTTATGCATGGGAAAAGGACTACTCTCTAAATCCCATGCTCATTAGTATGTCTAGGTTTCTTTTATAAAAATGTCCCATTCTTTTCAAATGGAATGTTGGAATATTCTGTTCACAATACAGATGCAGGCCACAGGATATGTTCAGTTTGTGAAATATGATTGAGCAATTACTTGCAAGTTGTATTTGTAAGTCCATTTGTATATGTTTTCTATCTTATATTTCAGTAAAAATTTTAAAAGAATGGTTAAAGTGTAAAATTTATGTTTATTTCACTCTAACTAAAAAGTAAAAAATTATTTGTCTACATTCTAATAGCACTCCACTGGTGTCAGTGAGGTGTCTTACAATTTAATTTAAACTAGATTGACCCTATCTCAGCTGCCAGCATAAGTAGGAACCCCAGCATACCCACACTTCTCATGGACTTGGCTTCAAATTTGGAAATTTCCACCACTCTCAGGTTTTGTGATTCATTCAATAACTCACCAAACACGCTGAAGGCCTTTCTATTACAGTTTTATTTTAAAGGGTCGACTCAGGAATAGCTGAGTGGAGGAGCTACATGGAGGAAGGCCTAGGAGAGAGAAGAGGTGTGGGAGGTGGGAAGATAGAGCTTGGGTGCCTTCAGACACATCATCCTCCCAGCACATGCAGGCATTCACTGGCCAGGAACTCTAGTTCTCCACCCCTAACACACATGCCTCATTAGCATAACAAACACTTCTATCAGGAAACTCCAAAGATTTAGAAGCTTTGTTCCAGCCCCCAACCCTTCCCAGACCTGTAGATTTTTTGCTGTGTCATAGGTAACCCCTAGTCTTTGACCACAGGATCTTTTATAGCAAAAGGAATATATCTGCTAACTGAGTGTAACAGATTTGGAGGAGTAATGTGGATAAGCTTAAACTCAATTTCCCAATGTATTCAGTTACCATTATCAGAATTATAATCGTTCCAGTAATAATAGTGTTATAGCATGTCTGATATAATCTGAAAAATAAAAGATGCTGTCATATTATTAACTCCTATCCAGTCTCTCCAGATAGTCTAATCCATCATCATATGGAAAGACAGTGTCTGTCCCTATCATATATTCAGGTTGAGTCCTCTCCAGTTCACATAAACCTTGTATCCATTTTTGTGCAGATTACCCCTTATTCCCACCAACTCTGCATTTTTGTATCTTCTCAATGCATACAAAAACATTACCAGCAGGTTTTAGTATGACAGTGCATAGAACCTCCCAGTTTATGACCCATAAACTCCTCTACCTTCTGACCTTTTTACTTAACTGTGTGCTTTTTTTTTTTTTTTATTCATATAGAACTGTGGTACAGGCCAGAGATGCGGAGGGTGAGAGGATTTACCAGAGACAGAACTGGGAGTAGAACAGGCAGATCAACGAAGTACACTGCTGAAGGGAGCAGTGGGCGGGTCAGGAGAGATCTGCCTCGCCATGTGGATCTCCTCCGGGACAGGCAGGAATCGAACTCATGCGGAAGTGGCTTAAAGCTTCTTAGTGCTGTGCTTTAACCCGCTGCGCCACCAGGGAGAGCCCCAACTATGTACTTTTTTAAAAGAGTTTTGGTGTGCAGTAAAGGACTGAGCCAGGCCACTCTGACCTTTTGTTTATCCTTACCTGATTAGTCTCCCTGACTACAGCCTCAGGTATTTTCAGTATGAGTTTCTCATGATCTTTGCCTTCCAGTTTTTAACAGTCCTCCAAATTGGACTAAAGTGGACTTTTGGAAAGACTTTTAATTGGAAAGGGGTCCTTCCAATTTTCAGGAATGTTATTTTAAAACTTTGTTTCAACCTCATCACTGTCCATTCTACTCATCCTATAACTTTATAACCATATAAAGATTTCCTTCCCACTGGAACAAGCTCATTGATATACCACTTTTCCTCATTTTCTTGTTACTTTTAATGTTCTTATCTGTAAAATCTATATGAGGAAGCTGCGGGAACAAATCTGATTAAGTCTCAGACAGTTGTTCAGCTTTGTAACAATAAGATCATAGAGGGTGTCCATAGAAAAGTAGCTGCCTCAATCATAGTATTTACCATTACCTAAGTAAAAAGGAATATTTGGTGGATGAATCTTTATTGCCATAAAGCTAATCCCATGTCATTTGCATACAAAGCATATCAGCTGTTTTACCTGGGAATTTGCATTTGGTATTATAGGGGGTTGTTGGAAAGTCCTTCTGGGGTGAATACACTTTATTAGGTCGGCTGTTCCTTTGGGAATCCTGCTGTGCATTTACACAAAACTGGATAAGAGACATGGCTAGATGACCTGAAAGAATACATACATAAGAGGAAACCAAGACAAAATATCTGTGACATTGACTTCAGTGATGTTTGAGGGATTTGTCTCCAACAGCAAAAGAAACAAAAGTGAATGAACAACTTCAGGGAGAAATGTGAAATAGCTAAACTTCTGACAACAATTATGAAATGTCTGAGAAATTCTGTGGAAAGACAGAATTTATAGAACACCAGACAGGCATCAAATACAAAATTCCTCAAGAGAAACCAAATGGAAGACTTGACCAGTAACAAGAACTTTATGACCACTCCCAAGTAGAGCTGTGAATTCCAAACAGTCCTACTTGTCTTATGATAAAACTTTGAAAGTGCATCCAATAGACTTGACAGGCACAATACTGATGGAAATCCTAGGACCTGCTTATAAGGACCCTAGGTATATATCAGAGATATATATATACCAGATAGATAAGAAAAAGAAAAACTATGGGCCAAAACATTTAAAATAAGAGTTGTGAAAAATAATGAATAAACCAAGCAATAGAAAAAATATGAGAAAACACACAGGGCACATACATTTTTTAACCAAAGGAAGTATTAAAGATCACATAAAACTTTTTTAAAACACCAAAAGAAAATCTTGAGTTATCAATAATTTATTGTAACTAAAGAAAAAAAAATGTAGTTGAGGATTTCTTGGAATACAAACATTTTTAGTGAGTTCAAACAGAGCACACTAAGTTTAGATACTGATTATATTGGATTTGAAGAAATATTTGGTTCACTGAACATTAATCAGGGTGAACCAGGGAATCTCAGGAAACTCCTCAGGAATATGAATCCAAATGAAAGCCTGTGAAAACTGAAGATGTGGCCGAAGAAATGCAAGACAGAGTAAGACTGAGGAACAGGATCTACCTTAGGAAACAAAATAGACTCCTAAGACTCTGCGCATTTGCCTAGTCAAACAGATGATAAACAAAAAGAAATAGGAACTTAATTTTCAAGAAAAGCAGAAGCATGGAATTTAATACAGATTTCAGCAGGGACACACATCAAGAACTGATGCAGAACTAAAGGGTCTCAGTTGCTTAGTTCAAAAGAATCCAAAAAAATGTGAAAAGCTCAGAAGATGGAGTTACAAAACAAAAGCCAGAACTACAATACCAGGGGAAGGGGGAAATTTGTATAAAAAAATCTATCAGAATCTGACAGAGTTTATACACATGGAGAAAGCTAACAAACTAATGAAGATATCCCAAGAAAAAGTTATGTCTGCAAAAGAGAAAATTATGTTATGACCTAAGGGGAAAACAAAATTAATTTCATCTGATAAAGTCTTTGGTCAATGTGGAAAATTCACACAAACCAAAATTAAAACAGGAGTAAATCTAGAACACACTAACCCTTTGGCTGATGAAGCAGATGTGGCCAATCAAGAGGCAGAAGCTAAAACTATTGACAGTTGCTCAGATAAAATCTTAAACCAAATGCAGTGGGGTTTCTAGATCATTTAAAAGCAGTTGTGAAGTTAGAGATACCTAACTGGAAGAAAGTCCACCCAATAAAGGAGCTAACATAAAGAAGTTTAAGAGGATTATGTGTAGAAAATCCATAAGAACTTTAAACAGCACACAGTCAATGTTAAATTCTCTTTAAGGTCTCCCAGCTCAAATAAGGTTTTTCTTACAACAGTAGAAGCATATGTTCTTTTATCTAGTATGATAGAAGCTCTATGCGTAAGAATGAAGGGAAAACAAGCATTCCTCAGATAAAATGACAGACAGGAAACCACAAAGATACCTGTGAGAAAAATCCAGAAGCAGAAAGATACAGCAGTCAGTGGAAAATTATGTCTTGTGGTTTGGTATCTGCCATGATTAACATGCAATTTCTAATTGTTTGCCTAATATAACAAAGCACACATTGTTAAGGAAGAGCCAGGGGGAAAAGTGGTGACAATCCTTCCAGAAAAATCCAGGTGAAGAAGCTGAAAGATAAAGAACTAAGTCAAGTTTTAATGTTTTAGATCATGAAAAATCAAAATCCTTGCTAAAAATGCAAAGATTTGATCATTTGCCCAACATGACAGATAAAATTTCTATAGGTAAAAACAAAGAGAAGCTATTTATTGTGGTCCTTTGGTGGATAAAAAGAAAAAGATATGTGGCTCAAAACTGACAACCTGGAGAAGTCAGCTGTAGACAGAAAACAAAGGAAACACTTTGGAAGATCCTGTTTTATCAAAAGAAACTGTACAAAAGACCCAGCCATAACCAGAGTGATAACAATCACAGTCACTCGGAATTCTAAGAGATGTGTTTCTGTGCAAACACCACCTGAAAGTCCAAAGCAGCATAGGAACACTATAAAAAGAAAGATGTGAAGAACTGTAAGATAGCAAGAAATGAAGATGCTCAACTAAGAAGCTGAGCACACAAAGGTGAGAATATTTAGTTGATGAAATTTTGTTGATTTTGGTTTAGAGTAAAATTGATGGCAAGCTTAAGTATCCTCTGATTTTTTGCCATAAAATTAACAGTGAATTTATTAAGTTATAAATTAAAAGAAATCGTATGTAAGTAAAATCAAGGTGGTTTTAACATTTGACATTTGATTATTTTATAGACAAAATATTAGGAGAATTAAGACATTCTTATATGGAAGAAAAGATGTCTTAATTTCTTGCAGTTAACTAATTGCTGATTAATTCTATGTTAATAAAAATGTCTTCCTTTAGCCTACCCATTTTTTTTAAAAAGATTTATTTATTCGTACAGAACTGGGGTACAGGCCAGAAATGTGGAGGGTGAGAGGATTCACCAGAGACAGAGCGGGGAGCAAGAACAGGCAGATCGAGGAAGTACACTGCTGAGGGGAGCAGCGGGCGGGTCAGGAGAGGTCTGCTGTGCCACGTGGGCAGGCGGGAGGCAGGTGAGGATCGAACTCATGCGGAAGTGGCTTAAACTTCTTAGTGCTGTGCTTTTACCCGCTGCGCCACCAGGGAGGGCCCAGCCTACCCATTTTTAGCCTTTCACCAATGGCTGGACAGGAGAATGAATGAAAAAATTAGTTATAAACCAGTGAGATCAGATACAAAGTTGGCAAATGTTCCATGATTAACTGGCTGAGAATTATACTTGTTCCTTAAAATAAAACAGCTCACTGTTTCTCTCAACTGGGAATTCCAAATTAATTTTGAGTCTTGAAATTTTTTACAAAAGTCAGTGCAGGATATTGCATAAATCTGAATACTGAAGTCATATTTTTAACTTACCAGTTTCAGCTCTAAATCGTTTCCTTTATTAATTCCACTTGAGAGAAACAGTATAAAGTACAACATTAAGGTACTTAGCATAATGCCTTTTATACTGTTAATGCCTTTTCCTTAATATTCCCTTTGGCCTTTACAATTGAATCTTATTTTCCTTATACAGTACACCTCATGCCCTTTGGCACAGTTGCCAATGGCGTTTCCATGGTTGAAGCACATTTACATTTGCACAATGTGGCAATTAATGGCCTCTCAAAACTATCATTCTATCTCTAGAAGACATTTCCCCCTTGGTTATGACATTGAACTTCAATAACAAACTGCTTTTAAACAACTGGTGAATATATATATGATTTAGAAAATCAATCATGTTTTACATTCCAGCTGGTTTCTTACCATATCCAGGACCATTATTCCCTACTCATAAGAAGTCAGTGAAAATAAAATATGCTGAAATGTTTTAGTATGTGAGTTGCTTTAAAAACTAGCAGCAAAGGTTTAGTTAGCACTGGAGTACCTGTCATTCCCAGGTGGGTTTGGGTAAGGGAAGTATGTATATTGCAGCTTTGTCAGTCAGTTTCTCTCTCTCTTCTCTTCCTCTCCCCAGTTAAAGCTACATTCTGTAAGTAGATCTATAGCATTAAAAATAAATTGCCAATCTCATCGTGAATTATTTTTAGGTAATAGAATACTATTTTATACATGAATTAACTCATCTAATAACATATAACAGTTCTGTTATTAACATGGCATGTGTGTGTTACCACAAGACATGTTCACTTACATTAATAAAAATAGTTCTTAAAGACTATTTTCTACATTATGTCTCTTAAAGATTGTTTTCTACATTATGTCTGGACAAACTTATACTTGGCACATCAATGAGTTGTAAGAAAAAAATAGACTAAAACTGACTTATTGAACTGAGATATAAATTAAAGCATGGGTGATGTGTAAAAAAAAATCCTGTAAAACTTGTAATTTTAAAATCCACTACGACCTCATGCCATGATTGATGTTACCCTATAAACATTCTGAATTTTAGGGAGAGAAAGATGTTAATAGTAACAATATATGTAATATACCTCATGTACTTGTACTTGGAGACTTAACGTTGTTTCAGATATGGGAGAATTTTTTTTTTAAAGATTTATTTATTTTTATTCATACAGAACTGGGGTACAGGCCAGAGATGCGGAGGGTGAGAGGATTCACCAGAGACAGAGTGGGGAGCAGGAGCAGTGGGCGGGCCGGGAGAGGTCTGCCTCACAATGTGGATCTCCTCCGGGGCAGGCTGAAATCGAACTCGTGGCTTAAGCTTCTTAGTGCTGTGCTTTAACCCGTTGCGCCACCAGGAAGGGCCCCAGATATGGGAGAATTTTAAAAAGTGTTTAGAACAGTGTGCCTTCAAAGGTAAATCATTTAAAAGAATATGAGGACATTCTAGCTTGAGTGGTGGGTGGTGTTGATAGTCATACATAACTAAAATTTATGTTTGACTAGCACTAATATTCCATTCTCAATATAGTTTCAACTCCTGTACTATTGCCAATTCACAACTTAAAGCTGCTTGCAAATGACAGAGGGACACATTTCATATTTTAATATCCTACCATCCAGTCACACATCGATACAATTTGTACAGAGAAAGATTTTCATGTTTTTCTGTTTTAATACACTTCAAATGATTTTTTCTTTATGACAAGGTCATTAGCTTTTAGTTTAGACCAAGCTATTTTATTACAATTCAGACACTTTAAGATTCTGAGAACTGTCAACCTTTTTCAAACAGCTTGAAAAACTTTAAAGCCACCAAATCATTTTCTTCTAATACAATTCAGATAGTTTAAGATTTTTGAGGATTTTCAATCAAAAGAACAATGTTTCTCTACACATGTGTGAGGTCCAAGTGTATAAGCTCTCTTAATTTAACACTCATCGTTCTCCAAGCACAGAAAGCTCCTTTCCTTTCATAAGAACCATAAACTGTGTTCATTAGAATGGTATGTAATATGCATGTTGTACATAAAGGACTGGCTAATACAGTATACACAAAGCATTTTAAGATATTTCATACCACCATTCACTTTAAAGAGGGTTCATAGAATTTTAGAACTGATACAGTGACACTTATTTTTTTCTTAAGATAGGTTGACTGACTCCTGTGGTACCTCAAAGCACAAATATGGCTTTAAACAAAAGTTAGAGGTCACATCAAGTTCTTAGGCTTGTATCATGTGGTGGAATGGATTCCAAAGGCATAATGAAGGGGGAAGTGCATAGCATCATGCTTCATGTGGATGCATACATGTATCAGTCACTTTTTACATATAATATGTAGTGAATGATATAATGAAGACACAGATTACACCATGTATGGTTAATATAAAAGGTTATATATTATGCCACAGTACTAAAAATAAAATATATTCTTCTCAAATAGTGAAAATAAGATATCCTTCATGTTTTTGTCACATGTTTTCTCATTTGACCATGCTTCTTTTTACCCCATTTTAAATAAAATAATGTCCAGCATTTTATTTAATTGTAACAAAGTGTGGAGAATTTCCTGACCTAAATGAAGGCGGTAAAGATTATCTTGTTATCAGCTGCAGAAATACTATCCTGAAGCGTTCAATACATGGTAGAACTATAAAAATAAAAGCCAAATAAATATAAATATCTTCTCAGTTACCGAAAAATCAAAAGTTCAATTGTACCTTGTTATAAACACCGTCTTGGAGATACGTAATTGCTAATCTTGAGTAGGTACAGTCACTACCGGAAACCACGGTCGTCCCCCCACCCCACCCCACCAAGTGTGACCCCTCAGCTGTGCCTATGCAGACTAGGTAGACAACAAAGGGTTTGGGGGCTTCTCCTCAAGGAGGGGCTTCGGTGGTAGCCAGGTGCTCCCAGCCGCGCCGCTGTGTCCCGGTGCACTCGCCGGGCGGCTCCCCGACCCCTTGGAAGATCCCGACTTGTCCAGGGGAGAAGGAACCTAGTGGTACAGCCTCCCTCCCCCTCCTCCCAAGCACTCAAGGCTCAAGCGTTAGGATTCGGGACACAGGCACTTGAAGTGAGCACAGCCCTAGCCCAGACTGGGACGGGGTAGGTATCCTACTGAGATGCGCTCGCGCTCGGTCCCCACAGCCACCGCTCGTGCCCAGCGTCCTCCTGAACCTAATGAAATGTGGACAAACTTCAGGTCCCGCGGAAGAGAGGGTTGAGGGTGATCCTAGTCCAGTCCACCGGCCACAAGCGAGTAGGCCGGTGTACCCGGCAGGTTCTAGGCAGTTGGCGTCTGCAGCGGGCGCCCACAGTCCGCCCAGTCCGCGCGGTCCTCGAACGCTCTGCAGCTAGCTCATATGAGCGGGAATCGTCCCTCGCCGTCGGGCTCCGGGACGCCCAGCACCGAAACGGGCAGCACGACCTCTCCGGGGCTGAGCTGCTGCAGCCGCATGGACTCCTCGTAGGTGGGCAGGTACTTCACCTCCTCGTAGCTGGGCAGCTGCAGGAACACCGGGGAGACTACTCGCAGCTCGTGTTCCAAAGCGCTGGCGGGGACCGCGCGAGCGCCACCCCGGCCCCGGCCACCGCTGTCCAGCAGCGAGTCCTGCGAGCCCGCGGC